TTAATCAGAGCCTAATTTAGTAATAGCACTGGGATCACAGTTCATGAAGTTACTACCCTCTTAAGCAGATCATTTAAGTGGGAACGTAATGTCCTGGAGACTTGAGATGAGCTACAAAGTAAATATGAGCAAACAGCCAAACTGAGGCCAACATCCTCTTTAACCGGACAGTTCAACATTTTTGGGAAACACACTGATTTGCTTTCTTGCTAAGAGTTAGAAGAGAAGATTGACATCACACTCATATATGTCCATTAGCTATGAAAGCTACAGACAGAAACCTGTTATCTTAGCTTAGCATAAAGACTGGAAACTGTGGGAAATTGCTAGCCTGGCTCTCTCCCAAAATGACACAGTCCATATAAGAGTCCTTTTAAAGCTCCAGCTCATCTTTTACTCCGTACAATAATTAACAACCAGCTCATAATTGACTGCACTCAACTAAGAAATAGCCCAGCACTTAACTCAGCATTAAACCACTTGTTTTTACACTTTTTATACGGATTAGCAGACAACATATAACTTTATTTGTGCTACGCTAAGATAACCACCTCCTGACTGCAGCTAAGTGTTTAGCATATAAGCTGTGTCCCAATTCAGGGGCCGCATGAATTGGGACACAGCTATAGTCATGAGCGTGTTATTGATCTTCTCATCAAACTATTAGCATGGCAATAAGCATATTTCTAAAAAATGTTGTACCACTCTATGGCTCCACATACTCATTTCTGTATTAAAATGACATTCATGTAAAATGTTCCTCCGTGCAAACTGTCACAGTCTCTATATGTTGCATGTTCCCAATACTACAGGCTTTTTGTCTTTGTTCAACAAGCGAAGGCCTTAGAATTACAAGCAGGCGGAAGTGACAGTTGTCAGTTTAGGATGGAAAATAGCTCCCTTGCTACCGCCCGCCCACTCCCCGTCACCAGACTCCCCAGACACTGACCCATTGTTTGCCTGATTTCTCTCCCATCCAGCAGACACAGGTAGTGTCACACCCCTTGGGAAATGTCTGAGGTCAGAGTTCGCCGTGAAAACTTCTGGGAAGTGATGTCTATAAAGATGAATAAGCAGTTTGTTTATTCTAATAACACACTCACTGATGCATACTAAACTGGATGTTATGAGATTAAGTGCCGCAAATAACAATCCTTCAAGTCTGTTTACTGTGTGGAGCACAAAGAGGATACAGGAGGCAGAGTGACGAACGTCTACCACATCCATATGTCTAAGTGAGAAAATAATAGGAAGTGTGTGTGGCAGTAACTGTGTGGCTTCCACAGTGACAAGGTAATTGGGTTTGTGGGAAGGTCAGCTTTGTACTCGGCCGCGCTGACAAACACAGCAGGCTGTGTTTATTGACCTATGAAGAGCAATGAATGCCTCAAAGCAGCTGATCTCATGTCAGTCTGCGCTTGGTCTCGTGCCACTTTCTAGATAAACACAACACCTGATTCCTATTTGCAATCATATCAGCTAATACAAACAGAATTTATTTTTCGTGATACGGAGCAATGGGAAAAATGAGATGATAATCAGCACAGTGATACTGATTCAGGAGTCTGTCTAAAACATGTGTTTTTCACTTTTAGTTTTCTTCTGTTTACTTTGGTTTTTAGCAGCATCGCCTCAAACGGCTATTGGATGGGTTGCTATGAAATTTGTTACAGTCATGATCCCCAGCAGATAAATCCAACTGACTTTGTTGATCTCATTACTTTTATTAATTGTCATTAAAATTAGCTAAACACATTTATGTTCCCCACAGGATGAACTGTAAAAGCTCTGGTGATCCCCTGATATCTTAAAGTGCCATAATAAAGTCGAAACTTGAATTTGTTTAATACTTTGGTTTATGACCAAATACCTGTAAAACTAATGACGCTCCCATCACCCTCAGCTGTACTTACACCTACTGAGCCCCAATCAAGTACAGTCTTACTAGGCAAATGTGATTTTACCCTGAGCTGAATCAGTAAACAGATGTTAATGCGACAAGAGAAATGAAGCATGAATGAATGAAATTGCCATTTGTTCACTTCAAAAACATGGAATTAGTGACACAGACCTATTGTGTGTCTACTGTAACTACTGTACAAATACACAGAAAGATAAAAAAATAATAAAAAAAACACACACAGCTTTAATTCCTCACGTGGCAGGTGGGCTGAGTGAGAGATAAGAAAACAGACCAAAGTCACACTTGACCCTAACTGTGCATCCCCCACCAGCTAAACAGCAGATGAGTGAGTTACCTAGTGTTAAAATAACTGTGGCATCTGACGCACATGCTTCAGTTCCCACTCATCTTGCAATAAAACTCACACGAGGAGCAGCGTCACAGATCAAGCCAACGTATGAGAAACGTACGAGAACCGTGTATTAAAGCCATCGGAGAAGCCGGCACGTGCAGGAAAAAAGCCTTTCAAGCTGCAGGAACTGGATGCTCCGAGCACGACGTCAACGACTATGAAATGAGGTGTTTACAACAACAACAACAACAAAAAAAGGGCCTCCTCATTCACCTGGTACAGTATTTCTGCTCTCTTCAAGTCTGATCTCAGAGTACACTTTGTCCCCTGGAAGCAGCAAATAGACACTAGACCCAAAATATTTTTAAAAAAAAAAGTGACAAAGCACTCATTTGAGTTCATTTGAACCTTAATGGAGTCTCTTTGTGCCTCACACTGAGACTGAGAGGACGACAATCGCGCTGAGTGGTTCCTGACACAGAACAACAAAAGACAAGCTGCATAAAAAGATAAAGAGGGACATTTAAAATGAAAAGGATCACTCTTCATAATATACAAAGTGGGCGTTTGACTTCAGCCACTTCAGCTTGGCCTTATGCTGCTACAAGCTTTTACTTCCTTTAAAATACAAAGAGCCCTGGTGCCACCTGCTGGGCAAAAGGAATGACTGACGTTTAATCAGAAACAGAATATTGCACTGACGGGTGAGGGGAAAGCAAAGGTGCAGGTTTCACTTCAGATTTAGGGAGAGAACAAAACTGATTTTCTTCAGTATTTCTGTGGGTGAAACACTCTGGGCCGCTGGGCTGATAGAGATAATGGTAAACACGCCGCTCACAACAGACACCTGATTTCCTGAACTTCAACGGGGAGACATGAAATCTACACACCAGGTGTATACAGGTATGTGGTTATTCCGTAAGAAACTGCTCACCGCGACAAAAAGAAAGACTTGCTATAATCAATATTTTAACAATGAATCAAATACCTATGTGTCGGCTATATGAAAGGTGTTGCTCATGGTGATGGACCCACAGAGGATCATCACAGCGCTCTGCAGGTCCTCTCAGCTCTGTGGGTCCTGTGTTAGTGTCTTTCAGCTCATTGTTTTGGTTTTATGGTTCACAGCTTTACTGTTCTGGTAGTAACAGTTGTTTTCAGCAAAAAAAAAAAAAGGTTCCAAAACCTGGGGTCAGGGGTCAGGGGTCAGGGGTCAATATAGAGCAAAATCAGAGCTACAAGATACTAGTCTAATATTCATCAAGAAACATGGATTCAAATTAATGTTAATATTGCTCCATATCTGCAACAGGTTCGTTCTATCAACTTAAACCTGCGAGGACTGATTTGTTTTTTTTCCGTGCATCTAGGTGTCATATCACCTGACATACCATCATCATCATCATCACCTTTTAAGTTGATATGGAGAACTTCTTAGCAAACAGTTACTTATTCACACATCCAGCAGATACAGAGCAACATTATGATTCATTTGGAGCCGTTTTTGCCAAACGAATCTGCTGTTTGGTACCGAGCTGGAAGTGTACATATGAGCTTTTTTTCTTTTTTCCACTGTAAACAGCTATGATGTCGCTATGACAGCCGCAGCGAGCCTGAACCCAAACCAAAGGAAAGTTGCAGCGAACAGCTAAACAACTGTCACATTGTTTTCACATTGCATTTGATATAACTGCTTCAGACTGTCATAATAGGCCTTCTGTGTTTAAAGCTTGTTAGTTGTGACCAAAAATCAATTATGCTGGTTAAGCATTAAGTCAGTTTGATTTCTTAATAAAATATCTTTATAAGTCAGGCTGAAAACACAGAATACCTTCACTAGACCTGTATCTGTTTCTAAAAACCTCAGAGCATGTGAAAATGTACTAGACGTTTAAAATTCGGGGATTTAAATTCATCCTTCATCCAAATCACTGCCCATTAGGCTGCTTTATCTACATCCCTAAAACACCTCCGGGCTGTTTTCATATCATCCGACCTGAAAAACGTTGCTACATCTCTCCAGCTCTACGCCTTGATAGGCCTAATTCTTCCCTTTAAAACGGAGCTACACAAGCAGAGAAGAATCGGCTGATATCTCAGAGAGTGTCTGTGTATGGTGCAGGTTTAAAGCATGTGTCAGCTCATTGCAACACCACTAATGCTTCGTTCATTCAGTTTGCCACCTCTGCTGCAGGTGCTTGAGCTGCTCTGAAATTATCTGCCACACTGATCATCATTTTGCAGGAGGGAACCAAGAGCCCTTGAAAAACCCCTGGGGGGCTCCTGGAGTCCAGTGGGAGCCAGTGATTTGGGGATTTATTTTTTCCCCTGTGATGCCACTAGATGTCACACAAGCAAACACCAGCTGTAGCTGCTGACAGAGTGTGTACAAGCAGAGCCCGCCTTCATCTGTTAGATCTTACACCCAGTTAAAGGGCTCCTAAGCACCGTCTGAGTATTGATCGCTCACTCTGAGAAGCCGGTTCCGAGATTGATGGCACGGTGCTCCGCGGTAAAAACAGTCGTGTTGAGATCCGTGCGTCATCGGGACCCCGGCGGCGACGGCGTCGGTCGCGGCGGCGCGTACTGTCTCTGTCTCACCGTGCCTCGGAGCGGAGCGGAGGGGTCAGTATAACCGATCAACGCGTTAGCCGCCTCCGTCAACCAATCAATTCGTCGCGACCGGAGCGCCTCAACCCGGATGACCTCCGGAGTGACGCGGCTCTCCGGTGAGAGTGCGGAGGGAGCAGCGCCGGAGGAGATGCGCATATCTGCAGGTCTCTAGCGCTGTCGTAAAGCAAGAGTCTGGAGTCAAGTCAGCTATCACTAAAGCGATGCCAGGGGTAACCAAGTACAATTTAGTAGATGACGTGCACGATTTGAGGATCCCCATGCACAACGAGGAGGTGTTCAAGCATGGGGTCTGCTTCGAGGCAAAGGTAAGGACCCTCTGCAACAGATAGTTTGTGGGAGGCAGGAGGCTCGAGGATCCTGATGTGTCAAATATTGAAATGAGGATCATTAATGTCACTGTCACTGTAACAGATATCACCGGACTGTAGGTGTATTTCTGTGATGTTGCTGGTGTTCACTGACACTGTAACTCTTAGATTTTTGTCTACTTTGCAAGACTTAAAAATGTCTCTGATTTAAGATTTTTTTTTCCAGAGCTGAAACAATTCGATCAATCCATTCATTCCGTTCATCCATATTCTGATAATCAATGAATCATTTCAATCATTTTTCAGGCTAGAATGTCTCACAGTTGCTGGTTGCAGCCTCTGAAATGGGAGGATTTGCTGCTTCTCTTTGACATACGTGATAGTTCATGGAATAGCGCATCTGTGAGTTGTGTGTCTGTCAAAACAAGACAGAAATGAATGTCACTTTTTCTTTGGCAAATTGTGGTGGGCATTATTCACTATTTTCTGACATAGACTAAAACAATGAATCAGTTCATTGACAAAATAATCATCAGATGAATTTATAATTATGTTGCAGCCTTTAGACAAGTGTTGATTTAATTGATCTCTTGATGAATGCTGACATCATTTATTTCCCTTCTATGAATTGAACACTGTGATAAGTGCAGAATTATCATTATGACATTTTTTTCAATAAAAGTTTTAATGTTTGGCTTCTGAGTATATTAAAAAAAAAAAAAAAACCTCCTCACAGAGGGGAATATTTCCAGAAATGTACAAAAAGACATTGGAAATAAATAAACCTGCCAGCTCAGCACTCAGTAATCAGTGGTATTAATTCCCCCATTCTTTGAACCTTTCTCTCACATTTTGCAGTACATTGGCAGTTTGGAGGTGGGTCGCCCCGGCAGTCGAATGGAGATAGTCGCTGCAATGAGGAGAATCAGAGTAAGACACTTAAATATGTAACTTCCCTGAACCAGACCACTGAACTTGACCATTGCTTCCACAGCAGCCCGAACACATTAGCAACGACCCAGCGGCTGGTGATGGTGCATGCACATTTATCCTCTCTCTCTCTCTCTCGTGTTTTATGTCTCACCTTGTGCACGGTGCTCAGAGGGTCCTTACTCCCCTCAACATCCTCCTTTCGCATAAATCAGCGGTCTGCGTAAAACTACACACTCGGCAGATTCAGTGGGCTGTCAGGAGCGCTTTAAATCACGGCAGGATTCATAGGGCAAATCTAGATTTTTATGGCTGAGGAGAGACACGGCACGCAGGTTTATATGCGATACCATTAGAAAAACCAACGTCTCTCCAGCCTCCCTTTATTTAGACCAGACAAGGCCACTGGAAACCCTGCCATGCCTTGTCATTACACATCACTGCAGTGTTACAGAAGCGCTGGGAGGAGAGGATTTAGCTGTTTGTCAGCTGTTATATCTAATCTAACATCCAAGTTATTGTGACACCCAGGAAGAACTTAATCCTGATCCTTTAAGTACAGCACAGGATAAGATTTAGTGAGTTTCATTTATTCATTGATTTATTTATTTATCTTCAGATTTTTTACCATTTTTCTAATAATATATTACAAAAGTGCTTCGACTGCAGGTTTGAGTGGATAACAAAACACATTGAATACAGCAGCTCAAATGGATAAAAATCACACAATGCACAAAGCTGTGTGAAGACCTTGCCGGTCTCCAAGTCTGTGTTTTGCAACATTTTTCATCGACGATTTTCTTGTAAATAAATACATTTCAATAAATATCAGTGTTAGCAAAATGCTTTTTTTTTCTTTTTCTTTTGCAAGCCTTTGAAGCCAAAATGATAAATGGTAAAAATCTAAGAAAAGTGACAAATAATGGAATGAATGAAAACAACATGGTATTCAGTGTGAGAATAGATAACATAAAAGCAAGTCAGTAAAAGAGTCACACGCTGAGCTCTGTGATGGCACAGTAATTAAGAGTCTCTGCTTCTGAGGGGAAGACAGACTCTGAATCTTTAAAAGCCAACTTGCCCTTAAAGTACTCACAGTGGCTTAAGAGATAAGACCAGAGGTGAGTTGACACTACCTGTAGCATTAGTTGTGCTTGAGGGCAGTGTTAAGTGTGAGTCTCTGAGGCTGATGTGCATGCAAATTTCAGCATGAACACTTCCTGTGTTCCACTTCAGGCCCCTCTCGCGACAGTGTGTGTGTGGAGATGGATGGTCCTCTTGTCCCATTTTACGTGTGGCCGCATTAGCCTGGATAACACACACCTTAAGGGAGTTGTGTCCTTCACCTGGCCATCCACAGTCTCGAATAAAAACGCCCACACAACAATAAGACGGATGAACTGGAAGGAGGCATATGACATGAAATATCAAGTGGAAGGGCTCATTGAATCTTCTAGTGAAGCGTGTTTCTGCCAACTGTGACACAGGTCACTGACTTATAGACAAACTGCTCCAGATTCATTAGCGCTAAAAATCACCAGATATGACTTGTCATGTTGGTAATGACAACATTGCCCATTTCTTTTATTCTGAAATGTCAGTAAAAGAGTGAATCGACAGCTTCAATCACGCCGAAAACAAAAGACAACCAGCGCTGGATTGTTATTTTTACACAGACCAAAGAAAAGATGACAGAGAATATCCAAGACTGTCGTGCAGAGCGGGTGACGGCTCGTTCGCAGAGGAACACTGTTGAATTCACAGAACTTCATCTGATCAATCAATCATCTGATGTTGGACTTAGTGTTTTCAAAGTGGGCCGTGTTATTTTCACATAAATCCGGGTTGTTCTTAGATCTTAGATTCGGAGCCTGCGCCTGCAGTGGAGGCAGAGGGTACAGGCTCGAGCATTAATCATGGAGAGGGATGAAAGTGTCCCACACATGTCTGCCTCCCTCTGGGAAGTCTGCCTTTGAAAGCTTAAACAGCTCCCAGAAAAAGAAACTCACAGTATCTCAGTGTTTACTCAATCTCACATTTCCCCTGAGAAGGAGATAGTCAAAAATATCTTCCTGTCTACATGATCCCGTCTCTCTTTTCAAATATATGTAAAGAGCTCCGCCTCAGTGGGATAATGTGATATTAAATGCTGCTCACAACACATAGCATAATATTCAGTCTGGTTTATCTTTTGGACAATTTTTTTTCTTTTTTTTGCCCATCTTAAATATTAATATGAATATCATTCTTCCTCCACAGTATGAATTCAAACTGAAGAACATAAAGAAAAAGAAGGTCAACATTGTCGTATCCACCGATTGTGTCAAAGTGATTTTACGCAAAAAGAAGAAGGTCAGTGATTGATGACTGAAAGTGACTAATTAATGAAAACTTTCAAAAGCACCTGTGTCGATGTCAACCTGTGTATTTACGTGTTGTTGCAGAGAAAAGGGTGGTCATGGGATGAGAACACCATCCTGGTGACACAGGATCCCATCTACAGGTAGGCCCCTCCTCGTGATATTAAATCAAGGAGACAGAAGCCAAATAACCAGACAGTAATCTGATTTCATGCATTGTCTTGCCTCAACAGGATCTTTTATGTCTCACATGATGCTCAAGACTTGAAGATCTTCAGTTATATAGCGAGAGACGGACAGAGCAACATTTTCCGCTGCAATGTGTTCAAGTCGAAGAGGAAGGTGAGTCTAAGTCCCGGATGAGCTGATAAATGCAAAGCATCTATCCTTAATAATAAATGTAGCCACTACCTGACATACTGTGGCTTATTCCTCTGGGCCATAGACCTCCACACACAAACACTCACCAAGCACTATCTGCATGATGTTATTTCACTGCTGCGACATGATTGGCTGATCGGATAATTGCATGAATAAGCAGGTGTACAGGTGTTCCTGATAAAGTGCTCGGTGAGTGTATCCTCTTGACCAGTTGTTAAAGGAGTAGTCTGACATTTTGGTAAACGTGTCCGGTAAATATGAAGCTACAGCTAAAAGCCAGCTAGCTTAGCTTAGCACAAAGAGTCAGAGGCAATCTAACGGTAACTAAATCCCCTCAATCAAAAAAAAAAAAAAACATATAGGGGGGGGGGGGGGGTTGGCCTGGCACAGTAACTTCCTGGAGTCTTGTCGTCTCTGTGAGGCCACACTGTTTTCACAGCTTTATATTTAACGTACAGACCGAGCAACAACCTCCAGGGCTGAAAATTGAAGTCAACACTGAAATGCCAAAAACCACAGTTCTTTTAACGGCCACTTGAGGCTGGCTCCAAAAACAAGTCAATCTCCAAAAACTCCCATGTTAAAATGCCCGACTTTACAGCAGAAATAAACATGTTTACAGCCTGGTACAGAAAACAGTTTTGGTCTTTATTGCCAATTCCCTCATCCGTGGCAACTGTACGGGGGGGGGGTGAACTTTTATATAACTTAGTCATTTAAATTTTACTAAGGCTTAAAGGTCTGCATAATTGAGGGCGTGGCTTCTTTGAGTGACAGGTGGTATGAGCGTATGCCTGCCACAAACCGGCATTGCACCGAAATCTGCGCGCCACACTGTACCCCTCCTCTTTGCCCATTTTTGGATTAGCCATTAGTTTGGCACTGCCAAGATGGCGACAGCAAAACAGCACACACCGCTCTTCAGAAAACCTATGGGTGACACCACGGAGGCTACGTCCATCTTTACATACAGGGATGAACGTGCTTGGGACTGAGAGCAACGGGACGGGCTGGGGAAGATACGAAGTATTAAGAGACAGACATTGTTGGTTTCGGTCTTATTGTGGGCTTTGCTGATTTTAACCAACATACAGATTATCTCCAGCTTTATCCTTTTTGAGTTGCCTGCAAACAAATCTGGACCAGAGCATGTCAGTCATTGCTTTTTGTTTTCAGCTCCATGCCTTGTACATAACTGCTAATGGTGATATTTATACCCACCACCTCAGTGATGTGTAATTCTGCTGGACCCACACACAATTAATCTGACAGTCAGACCCCTCATGCGTGTTGTGGCAAAATGCTCGTGAAAATGAAAGGCATGTTTTCCTCCACATATCTGCATATCAAGCAGAGACCTTTTTTTTTCCTCTATGACAAAGACAGAGCATCAGCGAGGTTGACTCCCATCCCTTCACTATGGATACCAGACAGACAGTGATTTAGTGAAGCTGCATACTAATCATTCTGGTGGGAGAAGAAAAGAGAAAAGACGAGGGCCTTTTTCACTCAGCACTTAAAGACATTTTCACTACTACTGAACGAAACACCCACCACATGGTCAGGGATGCAGGCCGTGTTGCCTCAGTGCCTCTCTGGGGCTATGGAGCCTTATCTGGGTGTTGCAGACCAAGCGTGTGTGCTGAGTAGGAAGAGATGGACCAGCTGATAAGAGGAGATTTGATTTATTTTCATCACTGCATGTTGCAGCTCAGCAGGGCTCAGATGTCAGCTCCGTACATCAGCAGAGCCTATTGTGTTTGGCTTTGAGAGGGCCAGCTTTTACACTGGACAATTTAAAACAAAACTGCATTTTGTATTAATAAAGCAAAATAATCAATTTCATAACTTTACTCCTGTGTAGTTTTTTTGTTATTTCTTTTTATTAAACTACTCTGAAGCTGGAGTTGCCATATGACATAGACATATTGCCCAAATGCCCAGAGGCAGGATGATCCTCCAGAGGCAGATAGCAATAAATTTATTTCAATGCTGCTTCTGCCACTATTCAATATAGAAAACACAACAACTCACCTTTAGTGAGAGCGAGAAAGGACACGGTGGATAAAGTTTAATTCCAGTGGATTTAGGATGCTAGCACTGGACTGCATATTAGGGCTTTAGTGGAAAAAATAAGCCTTGAAATCGATCATGAGAGTGCTGGTGTCCCAAAGGCCACATTGAATTTTCTTGCCTGTGTGCTCAGCTTAAGAAACACCGACACCCACATGCAAGAGGAAATGTAATATGTACTTTATTTTATAATAAAATTTAAACTGAAAAGACAGTAAAACACCTAAGCACATGAGGGGTGTAAGTAGCGTTGTTTTTATGTTTGATTATTCTGCCGTCAATTAATCTTTTGGTCTGAAAATGTCAGAAAATAGTGAAAAATGCCCATCACAATTCTCCTAAGCCCAAGGTGAGGGTCTGTAAATTACTTGTTTTATCAGACAAACAACCCAGACCACAAAGATGTTGAGATTACTAAGTCATAAGACATAAGTGAGGAGCAACAACTTGGTAGTGTTTGACAGTTGAGCTTGAAAAACGGCTTAAAAAATGACTAATTACCTTTCTGTCAATAAACTAATCAGTTTAGCTTAAAAACACAAGAGGTTAAACGAAGCCATACTGCAATTTAATAATTATACCTATCTACTTTTATAATCCACAAAGTACAATCACCTCTGCTGTTGCTGTTAGAGTGAGTGACAGGCTCTGTTCAGACCTGGTACTAACATCTGTCTCTATGTTGAGGTGTGAACACGCCACAAGACGCACTGAGGACGCATTTGAGATCTGATAACTCTTCTTTGAGCAGCGTGAATGCAAATACATTCAGTGGAGCATCCAGCAGTTAAAAAGCCAGATGTTTACATCAGAAGGTAAACAGAGATAAAAAAAGATATGGAAGTGGTATAAGCGCTCTTTAACTCTTGGCAAGAAAGCGATGATGTGTAATTCCTATGCGTATTGCATAATTAGTTTTTTTTACATAATGAGGCTGTGTCTCACCTCTCTGTGAGTATGGTGATGTTGTTTATCAGGGCTTTATGTGACTCACAGGAACATCTCTTACATGAGGTCGTCAGGACAAACAGGGTTTACGTGAAGCCTTTTTGTGAAAACGAGTGAACAGGATGTGCATGTGTGAGACTTCAAGTAGCTAATTTTTGAGTTATTGCAAATTAAACTGTCCCTGATTGATGACCTGATGTTACAGACACACCTACTGAGCTTCCTGCAATAACAACAAACTTAATCTTCACTCCCCCCGCCATCAAAGTTACTTGCCTCTCAAATGGAGCGATCCATCACTGTGACAGCAGAATGTATGCAGAGCAGAGAGACAAGGACAAAACAGCCGAAGCTCTGCTCATAATATCTTCTGACTTGAATGCGGTCTCTATCTTCTCTTGTTTCCCTCTGTCTTCATTTTTCACATCTCATTCTTCCCCAACATTCGCTCCTCCACTGTTATGTGTTGTTACCTGTGCACACACACATACACTCAATCTGCCAATCCACTTTCCTCCCTGTGCAACTCCTCTGGCACCTCATTTTCTCCCCTGCTGTGTCCCTTCATTTTTGCATCCTTCCTTACTGTGCTCCTGCTGCTGTTTTCCCCAACCCCTGCTCTCCCTAACCCACCCACACACACACCCCCCCACACACACACACACACACACACACACACCGTCTCTGTGTCCTCACTCACAGTCTCAGGCCATGAGGATCGTGCGGACAGTGGGTCAGGCGTTTGATGTGTGTCACCAGCTGACCCTGCAGCAGAAAAGCGATGACCAGGAGGATGAGGAGGGGAAGGCGGAGGAGTCTGAGGCAGCGCCAGGTGACTCACAACAACCTGCACACACACACACACACACACACACACACACACACACACACACACACACACACACACACACACACACACAACAGCCACACACGACAAACACCACACACAACAAAAAGGTGCATCCACAATATCCAGTCCCCATCCCCCCTCCTGTCTTTCTCCGTACTCGTTCTCCTTTGCTGTCACAACACAGTAAACTCACCTCTCCATTATTGTTTTGCTCACGACAACAACAGCACAAAACTCCCTTGCGGCCTTCATCGTCCTCTTTTTCTTTCTTGCTTTATCCCCTCACACAAACAAGAAACCCTGAGCGCCTGCAGAAATCAAACAGCGCGCAACCTTGATACACCTTTCTTCTAGCAAAAGATGGTCATTATATCCCACCGGCCCGGAGAGTTTTCTTTGCAGCTTGCACGCTGCAGCTGCAGATTGGTTTTTGGTGAATCGTGCAAAACCACTGATCAAAGACTTTGCTTGTGTAGGCTTTGAGCCAGCTTCTTGGCCCACTGCAGCTGCTCTCCTGCCTCTAAGATTTGTTGTCGTAGAACTATAAAGCACAAAATAAAAACAGCATTGAGAATCCCCCCCCTCCCATATATGTATCTGGTCTCTCTGCAGCAAAGAAGAGGTTTGCATTGTCAGAAGAGACAGACCTTGAAGCCACTACAGAGGAGAGCATTGAGTGCGTCTCTTCATCAGACCTGGAGAAGAGCAAAAAGGACGAGGCCCTTGGAACAGAAGGGAAGGTAAAGTAAAAGTTGTCCTGATCGTTTCAGTGTCTCTCATTCAAAGCCCTGCTATTGTCTCACTCAACAGGAGCTTTTATAAATGCAGCAGAGATGAAGTGACCACTAAAAAGTGTGATTTATTGATGCCTCTTGCACTGCACTGTATGACACAGCAGCTGAAATGCAGGGCGGCAACTGAATATTTTTCATTATCAATAAGTCTGCCATTTATTGTCTCATTTAATCAATAAATCATGTCATCTGTGAAGTCTCAGTAGAAACGACCTTTTCAAAGCTCTAAACAATCAACAGCTCAAAAGCCAAAAATCCTTCCATTTACTTTCACACAGGACTAAAACGAAAACAGTGTGTTTTCACATTTCTAGGAGCAACAGCCTTTTAATGATTGTCATTTCTGCTTAAAAAATGACTTTAAGCAGCACTCCACTGAGTGAACATATCAAGTTTAATTTACTCGTTATGGTAAATACCACTCAACCTGTGAAAACAGTTGTGTAATATCCTCTGTGGCTGCGGAGGCGATTTCTTAAAGTTAGAGCAAATAACCTTGATGTTGTCATAGTGATGTTTTCAGTTTTAGAAATTACACATTTATAAGAGAAATTCTGCTATAAAAACAGTGGAGATGTGGAGTTTGAAAGACACTATGGCAGGGACAGTCAAATGAAAGAAGTTATTAAATTGATTTATGGGAAATGTAGGATGTAGTGTTATCTTGGCCTCCACTGCACAGACTATGACTGTCCACTTTTTTTAACCTGTTTCTTCTTCCATCTTTATGAACCTGCAATGCTAAATAGGTGGAGTAGCTCTTTAAATGATTATCAAAATAGCTGCAGATACATTTCTGTTGTTTGACTCATTGATTAATCCACTAACCCTAACCCACATCGTTTCAGCTCTACAACAATGCAACACCAAAAACATTTTTCATGGCAATTAGTCCGGCTGGACTGATTAATTCAAGTTAACTCCAACCAGAGCAAAGTTATTGATTTTAATATGTTCATCCTACTGAAAGATACATCTGAGGACCAACAGGATGTATTTTGGCAGAGATATTTTCCTATATTTTTTTGCAAATATTGATCTAAAAAGTCAGAAATGTCCTGTTAATGAATAAATCTGGGAGGCTCACAGCTCACAGAGGGGCATGAAGAAAGTTTGGCCTCATAAAAACTTAAAGATCAGAAAACATCACTGACTAACGTATAGCGAGCACATCATGTCTTTAAGGGTTGGTTGTGAGGAAATGCTCCACAAGGCTCTTCAATATTGATGGGGTCATATTGTTGATGAAAATACAGAATGGTTTTCTAGTGCTGCTCTGCTAATTCTGCCATGTTGAGCAAGCAGCTATCTCTGCAGCGATCTCTGATATTTGTCAGCTCATTTTCTAACCAAGTCTCTGTGGTGGTGGCGGCTTTAATACTCAAGAGAGAAAACTAGTGTCGTTCTCTTGAGGAGTTAATTTGTTTGAAATGAATAGATACTACATCCAATTACACAGTTAAATGAGAACAAATCAATTTTTTTATATTTTCTTTTTTTTTTCTGCCAAAAACCGTAGCATGTTCAGATATCAAATGCAATTTCTTTGTCTCCCATGAGTACTCAGAAAGTCAAGTGTCCTTCACAGTTTAGTAATATTGTGGCCACCAAATTGATCTCCCATCTCAGACTTGACTGATAAGTTGTGTCCTTCATGTCTGCTCTTCCAGCAGCAGCAGTCAAATGTAATTGTGAGAGTCATAATTCACGTGTGGTCAAACCAACTAACAGCAAACCCATACAGACAATCTATAGATCCATTTATAGATTCCACTGATTAAATCCCCATTAAAACACCATCTTCACAGCTAGATTAATGAGTCCACATGGTACTTTGTATTAGACCAGAGATTTGTTTTGACATTTGACATAGCAGGGGTCATCCACCAATCAGAAGGTTGGTAGTTTGATTGCCGGCTCCTCCCATTCACAAGTGGCAAAACTACAATAAGGTGACCTGATTTCTGAAATGAAATCTGGGGATATTTCAATGGTTGATATATCATTAACATAGTCATAGGTTTTATCTATGAGATAAAAAAACAAAAGGGAGACAGCCCTGGTTTCATGTATTTTGACCATGGTAACTGTTGAACTGTAATAAACTGCCAACTGATATAATTAGTAGGGTTACAGTCCAGCAAAATAGTCTTACAATAGCATGCCCTAAATGGAAACTAAACTGGACAAGCTTTGTCCCTTTTTTT